AGATCATGTCATTTGCAAACAGAGACAATTTTACTTCTTTTTTTCTGATTTAGAAAATGCCTTTTATTTCTTTTTTCTTGCCTAATAGCTCTGACTAGGACTTCCAGTACTATGTTGAATAGGAGTGGTGAGAGTAGTACCCTGTCTTCTTCCTGATTTCAGAGAAAAGCTTTTGACCTTTCCCCATTGAGTATGATGTGAGCTGTGGGCTTGTCATATATGGCCCTCTTATGTTGAGATATATTCCCTCTATACCTAATTCATTGAGAAATTTTATCATGAATGGATGTTGAATTTCATCACATGCTTTTTCTGCATCTTTTAAAATGATCATGTGATTTTTATCTTTCATCTACTAACGTGATGTATAACATTTATTAGTTTATGTATTTTGAACCATCCTTGCATCCCAGGGATGAATCTCACTTGATCATGGTGTATCCCTTTAATGTGTTGCAAATTTGGTTTGCTAATATTTCCTTATGAATTTTTGTGTCTATGTTCATCAGAGACACTGACCTGTAGTTTTCTTTTCTTATTGTGTCCTTATGTGGCTTTGGTACCAGGGTCAAGCTGGCCTAATAAAATGAGTTTGAGAGTGTTCTGTCCTTTTTAATTTTTTAGAAGAGTTTGAGAAGAACTGGTGTTAATTCATCTTTACATGTTTGATGGAATTTGCCCATGAAGCCATCTGTTCTTGAGCTTTTCTTTGTCCGGAGGTTTTTGATTACCGATTTGACCTTCGTACTCATTATTTATCTGATCAGATTTTCTTTTTTTAAAAAAGATTTTATTTATTTGATAGAGAGAGAGCACAAGTAGGCAGAGCGGCAGGCAGAGGGAGAGGGAGAAGCAGGTTCCTCACTGAGCAGAGAGTCTGATGCGGGGCTCAATCCCAGGACCCTGGGATCATGACCTGAGCTGAAGGCAGACGCTTAACTGACTGAGCCACCCAGGCGCCCCTGATCAGATTTTCTATTTCTTCATGATTCAGCCTCGGTAGGTTGTACCTTTCCAGGAATTTATCCATTTCTTCTAGGTTGTCCAGTGTGTTGATGTAGAGTTGTTTATAGCAGTCTCTTATGATCCTTTGTATTTCTGTGGTATCAGTTGTAATGTCTTCTCTTTCATTTATAATATTATTTATGTAGGTTCTGTTTTTTATTGGTTAATTTACTTAAAGTTTTGCCTCTTTTGTTAACATTTTTCTTAAAGGGCTGGGACCCTCTCTCTTTGAAATGTAAACATCAGAGAAGACAGGTTTCTGTCCCTCTGGGCACCTTGCTCCAGGCTATAATTGCCTGTTGTCATAGAGGTTTCATTTTTCCTTCAGAAAAAGTCAGTTAATTAGCAGAGATGGTTCTCCCAGTTACCATGCAAATTTAGAATTGAACTATACAATAATGCATCGCAAATGGTGGTATTAAGCCCTCTTACCTGAGGACAAGCTATCATTTATCTTGAAGATATATCTACTTGTTTATATAAAGGGATGAGATTTCTTTCCAGTCTTTGTAACCTTATTAGCAGATTACCTGCCATGTTCATTGCAGTCTGGTTTAATGTACATTCAATAATAAAACCATTTACTTTCTTTTCTGCATGCATGCAGAGGAGTTTTCTGTGTTGGCAGGAGATTTTACTTTTAATTTTTCCCTGAACATGATTGAAGAGAAGCTTGACAGTCAGTGTCCCAAACAAGGTAAAGGAAGATTGCCATTTGATGTAACCATGGGCCCATCATTTCTACCTTCAGTGACATAATAAAGGACACAGAGCTACCTTCCCCTTCCAGAGTCCTCACTGGGGACTATCCAGTAATGCCCAGTGACATGGACACGTGGGACCCCTTTTGCTCTCGTTCCTACCCTCATCTGACTGAGTGAGCCATGCCAGCGTTGGCCTCCAGAACCACCTGGAGAATTGAGAAACCCCTCCTTCCTGTAGAAAGCTAAAAACAATGTATGGCATATCTGATTAGTACCTGGCATTGCATTCTGTAGGAAATACAAGGGGAGTGAGACTTTGACCTACCTGCGTATCAGGAATTTCTGCTTTGCTGCTATCAGAAATGCCACCCCAACCCTCTCTGCAAAATACTGCTGACTCACAGTGACCAGAGGCTTTTGGTGGCATGTTAGAACTGCTGAAAACACAAACCTAGCTTGTCTGTGCTCACTCAGAGCCACACGGGTTCTCTCTTTTGATCCCAGCTTATTGGAAAGAGCTCATAAAATGAGGGCCATTCTTTTTTAAATCATTCTGGTTTTTTGCACTGTTCTAATAGTGTTTCCGAGGCTGGTGTCCACCTTCTCAGGAGGCAGGGAGTGGGGCCACTGGCCAAGGGTCTCTTGGTACACTTACGTTTTTAGGGCTTATAGTTTAGTATGTTTGCATTTGGCACAGGAACTAGAGAAGGTACAGGAAAAGAATAAATGGAAGTTCTAGAAGTAGCAGACATTACCCTGGAAATGGCACAGGGAAACAGTGCACCCCCTGCAGATACCTCGATAATTGAGGGCCAGAGCTGGGGAACCCCTCATCTCTCCCACCTCCAGCTGCACATGACTACACAGAGGCAAAGACCTATAGCCACAGCAAGGGCTGGGTAAGGAGAACAGATTGGAAATTACTTGTGTATGAATATGTGTGTGAGAAAGTTAAGAGTTTTGTTGAGCAAAATCCTTCCTCAAGAAAATATATTTGTACAATCTTTTTCCTTGAACTGTAAGATTTCTTAAGTCCTACAGTTGAAAATGCACTGTGGTCCTCTAAAGGGATATTGAGTCAGAGTCCATCCATGTCTCATTTTGTCCTTAGGGCTAGGTTAGCTCTCCACTGAAACTTACAGCGAGCAGCCTCCTCCAGGGATCACAATTGTTCCTGTGCATAGTTAGGCTGTGGTGGCCCTTGGCCACCATGGCCAACATGCTTGCACTGAATTGAAACTTTCCTCCATCATAAGCACTAGATCACCAAGGTCTCTTGGGAAATAGGCAGAGTAAAGAAGAAATACATTTTGTGGTAAAACAAACCTCTTGTTGACTCCAGAAAAGACTTTCTCTCAGCACATCTTTTAACCTCCTCAAGTCCAGCACTTTCTCATGACTTCCAGAAAGCTATCCAACTGTGTGTTGTTCACTAACCCCAACTCTGCCTCTTTTCCAGGGACTGATTCAAAGAGAGGACCACTCCTTCTTGCCCCTTCCCCTGAGGCTTTCCCACACAGCGTAACTTCTCCATGTGGGTCTCCCTCCCGGGCCTTGGCAGTGCCTGCCCTCTACCGTTGAGTCATGCATCCGAGGCTTGCCCTCCAGTGGGGAATAAGACAATTTGCCTTCTTCCTTTCTTGTTTCCTTCTGTCAGTTTTTCCTTTCAGTATCCATCTCCCCAAGTTTCGAGAGAGAAGCAGGCATCCCCTGTATGGTGCATGATGGTTACTTTTTCATCTGGCAGGAATGTGATAGTTTACCATAGAGGAAAAAATTCTCTGCTGTTATCAATTCTCAAGATGCCTGGATTCAATAGAGGGGGTTTCTCTGTCTAAGGTGAGCCCTCTGCTCCCTGGGCCACCACGTCTCCTTTGTCAGTTGTCAAGAAAAAGTTCCAGAGCTCTGCTGGTGGCTAGCAAGGCCCTCACTGCTGTGTGCACAACCTCCCACTGCCTCTTGCCAGGATAACGTCAGAATTACTGTCATCTGCTCTCCACCCCAGCTTATGTCTGTCATCCGAAGAGCCCGGGACTCCCAGCTCATTCCAGTCCCCTAAACCTTCTTCCCTGCACTCTGTCCCTCCTACTTCATGAGCATGGCTCACTCCTGGCTCACTTGAAAGCCCTCCTAGTGTTCCCTCTGGAACTGGGGCTCCATCCATTGTCACAAAATTCTAAATCCTGGACTTCTGTCCGCATACCCACCCCTTCCCTTTCTTTCTAGCCCAAACATGTTTCCTCCTCATGGATGCCACTTTCTTGGCAGTGTGGAGATGGGGGTGGTGGCCCCCTGGAAACAGCCATGTCTCAGGCCACCTCTCATGGTTGTGGTCCCTGGCCTCCACCCTCACCATCATTCAGTCTCGTTCCTTGAAGATTTTAACTCCTAGTTCTGGCTCATTCTGTAATACTGTTTCTCTCTTCATTCCTGGCATTTTCAACATCCGCGCAGATACTGCATCTATGCTCTGGCGTCTTGTCTCCCCCACTGTCCCTGTTATAATGTAGGTTCTTTCCCTTTTTATTTATTTATTTATTATTTATTTATTTATTTATTCATGAGAGTCAGAGAGACAGAAAGGCAGAGGCAGAGAGAGAAGCAGGCTCCCCACCTAGCAGGGAGCCTGATGCGGGACTCGATCCTAGGACCCTGGGATCATGACCTGAGCCGAAGGCAGATGCTTAACCATCTGAGCCACCCAGGCGCCCGGTTCTTTCCCTTTTATACAACACTCTTCAACCTCTACCTCATGTCTCTCTACTTTCCTGGTTCAATTCCTTCACAGATCTTTCTCCATTCACCACCTCTAATTCCCGTTCTCTCACCCCATGGGGGTTTTCAGCCTTATCATCCCACTAAAACCATTTTACTCAGGTCACTGGTGACTTCCATGATGCTAAATTTAATAGTGAAATGCTCAGCCCTTGACTGGTATAATCTACCAGCAGCATCTGCCATGGTTGGTACTCTACCCTTCTTAAATTATTTTTTATAACTAGGATCAATTAGTGAGCAATGCTGAAGAGAAAATTCAAACTCCCGTGACTTGCATGACATTTCTGGGTGCAGTTCCTGCAAGAGATGTCTGCAGGGACCTGAAAGAAAGACATGAAAGTCATTGGATTGATTCCAGTTTCATCTTTCAATAGCTGGAATCTGTAAGCCCAGCCCCACCTATCTCATTGTTGTTGGTAGCAATAAAGGACACTGGAGCCTTGTCTTCTCTTGGCTCTCTATCAGGAAAAGGGAGGAGAGACAGAACCAGATTAGCCGGGACTATGGACAGTGATGGACCTCAACCGGAGTTGTTCCGTGAAACTGAATGGTGGGCACATCATGCCTGTGCTCGGGTTTGGCACTCTTGCTTCTAATGACATAGGTGGAACCCAGGTGACTGGAGGGTTGACCATGAACAGCCCTGGAAGGGTGGTCAGCAGACATGCACCCCATGCCTCGTGCACTCTGGGTGATGAATCCTGGCAGGACTCATTTGGGTCTTCATTTCATGATCTCTAACTTTGCCCTAAGTGGGATGGTGAGCTATTGATTCTGGGGATCCAGAGGTGATCATTTTGAGGGTGAATTATTTATTATTATTATTATTATTATTATTATTTTACTGCAATGCATACTGAATGCTTACTGTGTATTTTAAGTGCTTTCCATGCATTATTATTATTTTTTTAATTCCTCAACAACACTCCTGGTAAGTGCTATTCTTTCTTATTTCTCACCTGTTTAAAATCTGAGCTGGGGCTGCCCCTCCTGCCGCCACCTGCTGCCTCGGTCAGAGCCACTCTGCTCTTTGTTAGAAGCTCCTCATGGGCAGTGGGTGCAGAGGGCAGGATGACATGACCGCTTCATAGCCGCTTTGCTGTTAGGTTCATTGACGCATCACCAAAATCTTTCATCCTTGGAGAACCTGCTATTATTTCAAGCAGTAGGTTAGTGCCTGAACTATCACCAGCTAATGGCTCTCAGATAAGGCCAGTTTGTTTGCGTGACATAATTATCTCATGTCCACCATTATAGCTTAAGCAGAGGGTATGTTCTTCCATATTTATATCCAACCTACTGTTGTTAAAGACAGAAAAGTGCCACAGAGGATAGAATCAAAACAGCCCATTATCTCCACACTGACCCAAAGTAACACGTGCCTGTGCTTTGTATGGTGCAAAAGGTACAGAGTAAGATGGGAACCTCTCTTCCACCCTGAGCAGAGTTCTTTTTCTGAATGTGACCCCCCCAGCCCCACACTAGTGTCCTGTGGGTCATGGCAGAAGCAAGAAGCATGTTCCAGCATCTGTGCATGCAACTTCTTTCACTGAGGCAAGTGTCTTTTCAGCCTCACCTAGCCCCCTGTATGTGAAGCCAGTGTGTGCATTTTATCAGAGGCTGAGATAAATATTAGAATAAATAAACGAGCATTTGACACAGTGGGCAGAAAGGAATAATACCCCTTCTGATCTCATGAGTGAGGCTCTCAAGAAAGTACAGGTGGAATATGTCATTATTAATGAATAAAGCAATTAACCAATTCAAGTCATGATTAAGCTTCTACTTGGTGTTAAAATCTACCCCAGCGGTGATGAGAGTTTGCACAGAAGATAGCTCCATGTCTTTGGGGCTTCGACAGCCAGAGGAAGATGCCTGATGCCCGGGACAACAGCCACTTAACAAGGCTCAATGTTAGATCGCCAGGTGCCAGGAGAAGTGAGGGGTTCAGAAAGAGGAGGCTGATGGGAGCTGGGATGTGCTGGGAAGGCTTCCAGGAGGAGGTGAGCTGAGCTTAAGTGAGGCTGGAAGTCAGACTCAGACATTCTAAAGGGCAGTGTGACGGCTCCATTTCAGTAGAAGAGGCCACTCCAGCATGACTGGAATCTCGAATGGCTGGCAGAGGGACGAGGAATACTCTGGCGGCCCGCAGACCCAGTTGGCGCAGCGGAGGGTGTCCCCTGGTATAAGTCTTGGTTTTGTAGTTGTTGTAAAGACAGATCTTTAATGACAACATCATGAATAATTTTGAAATGTCGTTACAACTTTTTAAAAAGATTCCAGTCATGCGTCACTTCCGCTGCTCTAGGCTGCTGGCCTAACGGGGCAATCACTGAGGGGTCCGAGCACCTGCTTCCTGTGCCCTTGTCCAGTGGTACTTGCTCAAATTGTCCATTCACAGTTATTACCAGGTACAGAAGCACCCAGGGCTGCCCTAGTGACTTCTCTGAATTCCAGACATCCTCCTCCCTGCCGCCATTATACAGAGACCACTCTCTCTACTTCTGAAAAACAGGTGGCCGCCAGGGCATTAGTTAGGTGGAACCCTTACTAGGTCACTTGGTTGAAGGTTTCCCTCCTGGGAACCAGAATCATGAATCTGGCGCATCCTGAAGCTGAGCAAACGGACAACAGAAACTCCCCAAGCGGATAACTAGGAGTGGGGATGATAGTGTGGCAGGTGCGGTTGTCCCACCCGTATGCTCCCCGTGAACCCCTGGCGCTTAGCCTGACTTCCAGCTGCCCGCGTTTGCATCTCCTCACCTGAACGCCGGGGACTTATGCAAAGCCTCCAGGAGCAGCCCGTAGCAATTTACTGACTGGAATTATCTAGGAACATTCTCGGTCCCTCGCTTCTTGGGAGCTATATGTTTCCCATGAGCTTGGGGTTCATAGTGGCAACTGTGATAGAGCAGTGTTTACTGGCTCTCTTCCTTCTCCCACTTGCCCACACCCCCACTGGTGTACCCTTTGCCCCTCCAGTAAATTACTTGCTTTGGGATCCTTGCCTCGGTTTCACCATCTAGAGGAACCCACACTAATTCAAAGAGGCCACTTGTACTTCTAGCCCTTGGTCACTGAATCAGGTATGAGGATCGTGGCACCACATGATTGTTACTAGTTCAAAGTAACATATCGCATCTTCAATGACAGTGTCCTAAACCTACAGTGTCCTTCCTTGCAACCTGGCTCTTGTGGTTGTACCCTCAAGAAGCCATTCGACATTCTGTCATGCCCGTCACTTCTGGAAGATGCAGTATCTTCAGAGAACCAATGCATTCTGTGGTCAGGAGCTCATTGGTGCATATCCTTCACTATAAAGGGGTCAAAGCGCTAGTGCATGAGATCCTGTAATGACAAGCCAAACTCTCTGAGAGCTCTTACATCGTAATGCTGGCCGAGGGACTGTGAAGGGGACATACATAGAAACTCATCCATAGAACGTGGTAGTCTCAGTAAAGATGAATTCCTTGCTTCCCTCCCCACTGGGGTGGGGTGTTTAATACAATCAACTTGCCACTCAGGGGCTGGCTTGCCTCCTCGAGGAATGGTACCTTACCAAGACTTGGTGTCAGTCTCTGCTGCTGCTGAGAGGTCACACATTTACAAACAGTGGGATCTAAAAGAGCTCTAGTGAGAAGTAGCACATGAAGTTGGCCCAGGCGCAGTCTTAATCCCTTCCAGCATGTCTGTTCCATTCATGGGCCCATAGTGTGAGGCCTGCGGTGGTCAGGTAGAGAGGCGAAGTAGCGTCCAGTGGTCAACACATCTTCTCTCCCTGATTACTGAGAACCTCTCCCAAAGACTCTGGTGGCCACAGAAATTCCCAGGCAGAGTCATGGGTGCTTCCAGCTGGAAGACTCTGGGTGAGTGTGCACGGATATGTTTAGTGCCAAGCTCATAGAATGACAATTGTGTCACAATGATGGGCATCATGTAGTATATTTCTCCTTTAATTCTCTCTCAATCTCCCTGAAAATCAGCCATTATTTTCCTTTAATCCAACTGGTATACTATTGATTTGTTTTTTGTCAGCTTTACTGAGGTAAAATTCACAAAATTGTAAGATATTTAAACTGCACGACATGATTATTTGATATATGTATACATGGTGAGAATATTCATCCCATCAAGTCTAACACATCCCTCACTTCACATATTTATGCCTTCATTTCTTTTCTGGTGAGAACATTTATCTTCTATCTTCTTAACAAATTTCAATTCTACAGGACGGTGTTATCAACAATAGTTACCATGATATACATGAATTCCTCAGACCTTGTTTTATAGCTGAAAGTTGGCACCATTTTACTAATGTCTCCCCATTTCCCCAACTCCTGGCCCCTGGCAATCCCTTTTCTACTTTCTGTTTCTAGGAAATGGAATTTTTTTTTCAGATCCTGTATATAAGTGACACCATGCAGTAGTTGTCTTTCTCTGTCTGTCTGCCTTATCTCACTTAGCATAGGTTCATCCATTTGTTGCAAATGGAGAATTTCTTTCTTTAAAGCTGAATAATATTCCATTGTGTGATATATACATATAAAGAAAATGTGATATATATATATACATATATATATATACATATACATAATTGGATGGAGAATGGCTATTATGGCCTCATTTTCAATTCTAAACCAAAAATACATGCCGTCCCTTTTATCCTGTCTCTGTCTCCTGTAACCATATCTATGTACATCTATATACTTAGAAGTTCTCTCTAGCGTCAGAAGCTTTCCTCTTAGTTACTTCCATACAACGAATTCCTTATTGAGTGAGAGTTGATTTTCTGTGTCCCTGGTGAAGCCTGTTTCACTAACTCCTCTGAGATGAGAGGTCTGTGCCCCCAGAGTACAGGTTTGTTACCGAGGCTTGCGTCACCCCCCCCAGGGGAGCAGGGGACACGCAGAAATAGCTGGCCAACATGCCTTTAAGGAAATACATTACTTCTCTGTGTCAGGTGGATTACCAGCCCTCCTAATTTATATTTTATAGGTTCCTAAAAGCAAGGCCGGTGAGGCCACCAAAGTGGCGATTGACGTAGGTTTCCGACACTTCGATGCAGCATATGTCTATCAAAATGAGGAGGAAGTTGGCAAGGCCATTCGAGAGAAGATCGCTGAAGGCACCGTGAAGAGAGAGGACACATTCTACACCACCATGGTGCTCTGGACCAGTGATGGGAAGTCACTGCTAGATACATTATCTTGCAAAACACAAAAAACCACCTTTGGTCTTGGTTTGAATAATTTATGTACCTTCTTACATCGTAGGGACCCATTGTAGAAAAGTAGAGAACGAAGAAAGCTTGCTTTGCTCGAAGCATGTGAGAGGTAGGAGAGCAGACCGCATTCACACGTGAAACATGATTAGTGATATGTATGTTTTTTATCCATTGTATGGCTCAGCTGAGCCACCACAGGTGGGGTCCACTCCTTTTATTCTTCAGCAGATTCTCTCAGGACATATCCACGTGTGGTTGACCTAGTATTCACAGAAGGGAGCCTGACTCAAAAATAGGTTCTTCAAGTCAGCATTGAATTTCCTGAGATTTGTAAAATGTTCTTAGGTGGAAAACGGTGCTTCCAATGTCAAGAGAGCAGGGGTCTCTACAGAATGACCCTATGAGTGTCTCCATCAGGGACACCCTGTTTCTAGAAAGTGGCAGAACTCTTTCCAGGCAGATTCTGTTCCCCTTGCCTGACACTTCCTGACTCTCCCTTCAGAGATGACTTTTCTGACCTGTGGGATGTTTGGGCTGCTCTCCCTGGCCCATCCAAGTTCATTCAGTTTTCCTACCATCACTCGAATACAGCTCAGTGCCCCTGAAGGACCCCAGTCACACCAAGCGATGAATTTAGTCCCGGCGTTTCTTATTTTTAGACCACCCCAGTGACTCGTTACTCACTTCTCAATCTTGTAACTGAGATGTTTAATTTTGGTCCCCAAATGTGTGAAATCACTTCTTTTGGTCACTGCAGCTTTGGACTACTTTCCGTTGCCCGGAATTGGTTCGACCAGCCCTGGAAAGATCACTGAAGGCACTTCAGCTGGACTCTGGATCTCTTCATTACATTTGCCACTCGCCATGAAGGTCCGCTTCTGCTTTTCCTTGTTATGCCCATCACTGGTGCCACACCTTGTTTCCTCCTTCCTGACAGCTTGTCAGGGTTCTGACTGAGAGGTGGGCTTGGGTGTGGTGCATAGAATTGCTCCATAACTTATGACTCTCGTTGACACTTCTGTCATATCACCCCTGAGATTTTTTTTTCCTCATCCCATAGCCTGCAGAATGATTGAAATTCAATGATCTCTTTGTCTCTACCTCAAAGAGTTGAGGACAGTGCCTTACATGTCTAAGTGATGTGTTCCTGTCTGTGATCCCTTAGCGATCAGTGTCCTCAAGAACGTTAAGTTATAACTGACTGCATCGATATGGGAAACCCCTACCTCTGTAGGGAAAGAGTCCCTCCCATATGGACCTCTCAGCCCAATCATGATATGGTACCGTGGGTTGGTCCTCACTGCACCCCTGGGCTTCTTTGGGCTTCGCTGATCCAACCTCTCATCAGAGTGGACATTCACTGACCATGTCTGGTAACCTCACCATCTCTGACAGGTTGTCATAAACTGAAGCTGAAACACATTGCTTATTAGTAAAGGGAGTTCCTATCATCCAAACCAGCCTGTCCTTGTGAAATCAATTCCAACAGTACGAAAACTGATTCTTGGCAGAGTTTAGGGGTGTGTGTGGATAGGAGGGAGAAGGGGTACTTAGTTACAGTCTCTCCTGATTCTTGTTCTCCGCCCTCTCCCCATTTCTTCTCCACAACACACACACCTGCATGCACAAATTCACACATACACTCTCATCAGTAATCACAACTTTTTAAAGGTCATGTGACCAAGCTCCTTAGGCACCAGAAAGGTCATTCTTTAAACAAACCTTCTTCCTCCTTTTCTCTCCTCTCAGTATTCCAGCCTGGGGAGGAGCTTATGCCCAAGGATGCCAACGGGGAGGTTATTTTACAGACGGTGGACCTGTGTGACACGTGGGCAGTAAGTATGGCTACTAGACCCGAGAGGCACTGTGCAGTGAGGTAGAGGTCACTGGGTGGGGAGTCAGGAGACATGGGTTCTGGCTCCATCAATTGTCTGCTCTCAGACAGGTGGCTGAGCCTCAACGTACATCAGTGTTCTCATCTATACAGCAAGGGCGTTGAACAAGATGGCCTCTTAGGTCTATTTTTAATTTAACTTCTGTAGTTCTAAGTGGAGGTTTCTTTGCTCCATGGATCAGGTTGAACCTGCCAGCCCCATAAGGGGGATTGTCAGCAGCAAGCTCAAAAGGAGGTAGAGCTCTATCTGGCACAAGTAAATGCACCCACAGAGGGAGGGAAGGACTGCTGTCTGACTTAGCAGAAGGGTGGGCTGTAGGAGCGAAGCCTGCCCTTGTGTACCCCATTCCATACACTTTTTTCACCATTCAAGGAAAGAGGAAGCAGAAGGATCTTCCTTTGGTGGAAAACCTGGGAGTTCCTCTTTGTCCTTGACCCTGATACCATTTGTTAAAGAACTGTTATGGGCTTAATAGCAAAACAGGTGCCGCGGAAGAGAGCGGGGAGCTGAGGGGCAACTTAAAAGCTTTTCAATGTCTATTTGTTGTCCTGGTTGTGCATGTTAATGGACTCAAGGAAACAAAACGTGTACATAGCGATAAAGTATCACAGGAAATAATATATGTATATGATAAAACTGGTTCAGTCAAATCATTATATATGCTAAAAACAGATTTCCTGGTTTTGAAAAGTTCAATGTCAAATGCAAGGGCCAAAGTACACTAAAGATTTGCCTCATGTTTCCCTCCTCCCCAGGCCATGGAGAAGTGTAAAGATGCAGGTTTAACCAAGTCCATTGAGGTATCCAATTTCAACTACAAGCAGCTGAAAATGATCCTGAAGAAACCAGGGCTCAAGTACAAGCCTGTCTGCAACCAGGTGAGCCCACAGCCCACAGGAGACTACCTTGCTTCCTGCCCTTCATACCCTCTTCCTTAATGTATGGGACCCAAATTTCTGGCTCATGTCCACTGCTTAGGGGATTGTTCCTTTTATTACAAGAGGAAATGCCAAAGGAGGAACAGGTTGAGGGGAGTGGGAAGGGTATGATTTCCACTTCTCAGATTCCTCTGAGACGTCCAAATGGGAGATGCTGAGTTGGCAGACGGCAGTGCTGGTCTGGAGCTCAGGAAGTCGGTCAGGGCTGGAGGTGCAGATTTTGGAGTCCTTGCTTTATGGGTGGTAATTAAACTCACAGAAATGGATTAGCGTTTCTGGGAGCAAATTTCCAGTTTATTCTGAGATAGGATAAACTGGAAGGGCAGGAAAGTCAACATTTAATTAAGGATCAGGCAAAGGGGCACTGGTTAGGAGACTGAATATGAGTTGCCAAGTTGGGAGAGAGAACATGGTGGAAGCCAAAGGAGAGGGTTGAAAAGGTTTGAGTGAGTCATCGGGGTGGGGGGGACAGTCCTTGGTGAGGAGCTGCCAGTCTAAATAGGGGTGGAAAATGCCACTGGACTTCATGACATGGGCTGCATGGGAAAGCCCACAGGAGCAGTGGCGGGGCAGTGAGAGAGGAGCTGAGAAGAGAAGGAAAGAAGTGGAGAGTGAGGAAAGGGAGAAGTCATAATTAAAAGAAATAATTTTTAAAAATAACTCTCAACACCCAAAAAACAAATAATCCAATCAAGAAATGGGCAGAAGACATGAACAGACATTTCTCCAAAGAAGACATCCAAATGGTCAACAGACACATGAAAAATGCTCCACATAGCTCGGCATCAGGGAAATCCAAATCAAAACCTCAATGAGATACCACCTCACACCATTCAGAATGGCTAAAATTAACAAGATAAGGAAACGACAGATGTTGGCGAGGATGCGGAGAAAGGGGAACCCTCCTACACTGTTGGTGGGAATGCAAGCTGGTGCAGCCACTCTGGAAAACAGTATGGAGTTTCCTCAAAAAGTTGAAAATAGAGCTACACTATGATCCAGCAATTGCACCACTGGGTATTTATCTCACAGTTACAGATGTAGTGATCCGAAGGGGTACATGCAGCCCGATGTTCATAGCGGCAATGTCCACAATAGCCAAACTGTGGAAGGAGCCGAGATGTCCTTTGACAGATGAATGGATAAAGATGTGGTTCCTAAATCCAATGGAATATTACTCAGATATCAGAAAGAATGAATACTGATCATTTACATCGATGTGGATGGAACTGGAGGGGATTATGCTAAGTGAAATAAGTCAATCAGAGAAAGACAATTATCATATGGTTTCACTCATATGTGGAACATAAGAAATGGTGCAGAGGATCATAGGGGAAGGGAAGGAAGCCTGGATGGGAAGAAATCAGAGAGGGAGACAAACCATGAGAGACTTAACTCTAGGAAACAAACTGAGGGTTGCTGGAGGGGAGGTAGTTGGGCAGATGAGGTAACTGGGTGATGGCATTAAGGAGGGCACGTGATGTGATGAGCACTGGGTGTTATATGCAACTGATGAATTACTGGACACTACATCTGAAACTAATGATGTACTATATGTTGGCTAATTGAATTAAAAATAACGCCATATGTTGCCAATTTTCAAACACTATTATATTGTAGTTTTATAGCCCTTTTGTAAAAGAGCTTGAAAATGAGGCAAGAAACCATTCACATATTTATACTCTTCATCTTAGTTATTTTACTTCTAGGAATCTATTTGCAGAAAATAATTTAAAATGTGTTAAAATATGTCCCTCGGTCCTTCCTTCCTTCCCTTTGTCTTCCTCCTCCTCCTCTTTATCTCTCAATTTATTTGTGAAAGAAACTAAGCCTTTTTTCTTTTAAATTTTCCCACACAATTGGTTTTACTGACTGATGCCTGTGATACAGTTTGACATGTTACTCCGTCTTTTGTGCTTCCTGTAAACTGGAGGTTAGGTCTAAAGATGTGATCATATGCACATGTCATTGTGAATTCATGAGTTTTAACAGATGGGATGTTTTCCCATCCAGTGCAGTCGCCGTTCTTATCCATGAGCAAATGGTTCACAATTTTGGTCAGCAGAAGCCTCCTCTTCCTCTTTGTCTTACCCATCTTCTTTACTCTCAGGACTGTAGGATGTTCTAGGATCAATTTGTAGCTTTTTTGTTCAGACCTGGAATCATCCAGCTTTCTAAGGAATCTTGGTTTCTTTTAGTAGGAAATGGCATTTAGAGGCCACAACCTGAGCATAATGGTCTCTAATCATTTTAAATACTAATAAAAAAATAAGAAGAGGGGCACCTGGGTGCCTTAGTCAGTAAAACATCCCATTCTTGATCTCAGCTCGGTCTTGATATCAGGGTCGTGAGTTCAAGCCCTGCATTGGGCTCTGCACTGGGTGTGGAGGCTACAGAAGAAGAAGAAAAAGGGAAGAAGGGGAAGAAGGAGAAGAAGAAGAAGGAGGAGGAGGAGGAGAACAGGAAGGGGAGGAGGAGGAAGAAGAAGAAAATTGTTTAATTACATTTGAAAATTGATAGCATCTGAAGGTATTTCAGAAGGACATGAGAAAAATAATCTGAAAATATAGTATATATGTTAATAGAGTATCAGATATTTCTTCAAAGGACTTTCCAAATTTACATGTCATTGGCTTATGTATTTTGACATCTTTTGGTCTTGGCAATTTACAGGTGGAATGTCATCCTTACCTCAACCAGAGCAAACTCCTGGAGTTCTGCAAGTCCAAGGACATCGTTCTTGTTGCCTATAGTGCCCTGGGATCCCAAAAGGACCCAACCTGGTAATAAGAATATCAAAGTGAACCTATGTCAACAACTCTATGATGACGAAACACTTTTATTAACATTTTAATGTGGAAAGACTCAAACATCAGAAAGTAAACATGATCATGTAGCGAGTTCCCATGTACCATCACCGAGCTTCAAAAATCACCCACCTTCTCACAATCTTGCTTCATCCATGCATCCATCTATTCCAAACTCCACTCCAAATGGTATTTATTAAGTTATTAATAATGTTATTAATAATGTTGTTTATTAATTTGATGGTAAAATTTGCACAGCATATCATGCATAATTCTTAGCTGTATAATTTTGACAAATGGATGTACAGTATAACCCACACCCCTACCATGATACAGAAACTTGCTATCTCCTAAGACCGTTCTTTTGTGTTTCTTCCCAGAAAGTTCTTCCTCACCATCTTTTTTTTAAAGTATTTATTTTAATTCCAGTTAGTTAACACACAGTGTTATGTTAGTTTCGAGTGTACAATACAGTGAGTCAACACTTCCATACAACACCTGGTGCTTATCACAGCAAGTGCCCTCCTACATCCCCATCACCTGTTTCCACCCTCCCTCCATCCCCCCTCCCCTCTGGTGACCATCAGTTTGTTCTCTGCAGTTAAGAGTCTGTTTCTTGATTTATCTCTTTCTCTCTCTCTCTTATTTTTTCCCCTTTGCTTGTTGGTTTCTTAAATTCCACATGAGTGAAATCATCAGGTATTTGTCTTTCTCTGACTGACTTATTTCACTTAACATTATACTCCCTAGCTCCATCCATGTCATTGCAAATGGCAAGATTTCATTCTTTTTTATGGCTGAGTAATATTCCATTGTATATATACACCACCTCTTCTTTATCCATTCATCAGCCAATGGACACTTGGGCTGCTTCTGTATCTTGGCTATTGTAAATAATGCTGCTATAAACATCGGGGAGCATGTATCCCTTTGAATTAGTGTTCTTGTATTCTTGGGTAAATACCCAGAAGTACAATTGCTGGATCGTAAGCCAGTTTTATTTTTAACTTTTTGAGGAACCCCCATAATGTTTTCTTCCTTACCATTTTTTCTGATTTCCTTTTTCAATTTGGATTAGTTTGGTATGTTTTAGGACTTCATAAATAAAAGAAGTCATAGAGTACACACTCTTTGTGTCCAGCTTCTTTGGCTTAGCGTAGTATCTGTGAAATGCATCTGTGTTGTTGCAAGTGTCTAGTTTATTCTTGTTTGCTGCTGTGTAATATTTCATTGTATGGGCACATACCCCACAAGTTGTTTCTCTGGTCATCTGTTGATGGAAACATTAATTGTTTCCAGTTTGGTGTAATCATGAATGAATCCCTATGAATATTCATGAAACTCTCTTTTAATCACACCATATTATACCCACTGCTCTCAATCATCTGGAAAATCTGGGGAAAGGTGACAGCACACTCTAGATGTTCAGTTCCACACCCTTCAAATCTGGGTCTTTTGCTCTCAGGGTGGCAGGGGGTAGCCCATCCCTCTTGGAAGAGCCCATCTTGAATGCCATTGCCAAGAAACACAACAGAAACCCAGGCCAGGTGGCTCTGCACTTCCAGCCGCAGCGGGGGGTGGTGGTCCTGGCCAAGAGCTTCAGCGAGAAGAGACTCAAAGAGAACTCTGAGGTATAGGCACAGCGGTATTTTTCCAAAGTGAGGAATGGGTGCTGTGTTGGGGACTGTCTCTCTTGCTTTTCAGCAAGTGCCCATGTGCATTCATTCCCAGGCATCTCTCCCCATGTGCCATGGGGCAGCTAGGCAGGTAGGAGAGAGAGTACGAGTCTGAGTCCTAGGCTTTATGGTCTTTAGTTCTGGCTTTACCTCTTCCTAATTTTGTGACCCTGAGCACATTTTACCTCTATGCTCCTTACAGGAGGCCTTCCATGCAGTAAAGAACTTTTAAAACCCTGGTTCCTCTCTTTTACCTTCTCCACCTGATGAACTCCAATGTGTATTTCAATATCAAACCCAAGTAGGATTAGCTGCTCTGTGAAACCATCAGCAGTTTGACCACCATAGCACTTGGCATGGCTGTGTGGGTTTTTCCTTATTAAACTCAAATTGCTTGTTTATATGTCAGTGTGCTCTCCAGGCTGTGAGACCCTAAATGTCATGACCCTCTCTGGGTCATCTTATAACACCTTGTCCCCAGCAGAGCTCCCGGCAGGTAGGAAGCTAGGTATAAGTTTATGGACTGGCCAAATTAACAAATGAATGAGTAGTGTTGCCCTAAACCCTCTCTCATATATCTCCTGGTGCCTCAGAACAGTAGTGTTCTTCAGCTTACTTTGTTGTGAACTCCAGTGAATTGTGACAAACTGTGGGAGCCCTAGCCCGTCCTAATGACAACAAAAATTTCATCCTGAGTATAGTATTTGCACAAGATGATATTGTGGAGCATATTATTTAAAAGCATTTGCTCTAAAACCTTGAAGCCATAGATTTAGTTCATTCAATTTATGGAAATATCCGATAGGTAAATCTAATCTCATTGTTAAACCAATCAGAAAAAGATCCCATTTTATTTTTCAATTCAACTCCATATATTAATACATATCCGCATGACAACATATCACTTCTGGAGTATATTTGTAACATGAATGATAGATGGATGGAGAGATGATAGATGATAGATAGATAGATGATAGATAGATAGGTGGATAGGTAGAGGCACCGAGTTTTCTGCGAAATCATCCCCTGGATGAAATAATGAGTTTCCTGCTTTAATATTTCTTACCAAAGATCTGTCTGCTTTGCTATTAATTCCCTCTCAATTAGGTGCTATGTATCTTCAAATAAAAAATCTGGACGTAAGTAAGAGAGACTTTATTCAAAAGGGAGAACTGTCTGGATGTAAGATCAATCCCTAAGTGTCTCAGAGATCAATCAGAAAGATTTTTCTCTTACAGGGAAGAGCAAACACAACTAGGAAGAGAATGGTGTTTGGGGTTGGAATGAGCAGGTGGTTGACTGAACCGCAGATCGGGAAATGCCTTTTTCTGAAGTCAACAGATTCTTGAAGAGGTCTTTACAGGGGAGCTGCTCTTCCTTCCAGTGCTTGCTTAAGCTCAAGCTTGTGTCAAATTGTAGGTGGCTCTGGGGAAGGAAAAGCCTGATTACAGTTTGGTTGATTTTGTCCAGATTGTCCAGCTGTCCCTTTGGTTGGACAAAAAGGAGTTTTTTTCTTTTCTGTGGCAAGCAATTCACTTAGAACGATTTGGGATTGTGTGTTATGAGCCTTTTGTGGAGTGGAGCAGCAGAGAGGGGGTGGAGAAGAATGGGGTGGGAGGTGAACTTGGGCCAGCACCCCTAGGAGCTGATGGCAGGGATTGCCCCCCTCCCAGTGCACCCCTTTCCCACCCCCCTGCCCAGCTGAAAAGAACTGAAGCTCCCAGGTAGAAGCCAGCTGCGTTGGAGAGAGTTCAATTTAGTTCTTTCCTTCCTTTCAGGTTTTTGACTTTGAATTGACTCCAGAAGACATGAAAGCAATTGAAGGACTCAACAGAAATTTCCGATATTTCAAACTACTATTGTAAGTGACTTGTATGTTGTATTTCACGGGTCGTTGGTTGTTTTCTGCGGTGTGGAGGTCAGCAGAGGAACTACACTCCCCTAAATCGGGAACAAAGGCCCAATTTCCACATAGCAGTGAAACTGGAGCTTCCCGTAGACTGCAGACTGGAGGTTTACTCTGGAGCTCAGGGTCTGACCTGACGGCAGTGTGAGCAGGGACCCAGAACACCGGGAGCACAACTGCTAACATCTGCATCATCGGGAATTCACTACTTTCCTGCCCTAGTCTTGTGCCTGGCGTACCCCCACTCGGGGCCGACTGACCCATTAGACACAGAAGGCACAGTGCCCACAGTCCACTCTACTTCTGGGGGGCCTATGGAAATGCTTCGTCTTTAATTCTTTTTAAAATCAGGAGAAAAAAAGGATTCCATTAATAATGACTATGTAATAATGAGTCCCGCCTGGATTCTATTTATCCTAACACAATTGTAAAATGTAATGTTAATATTTTTATGGAGGAGTGTGGCCCACGAAGGCAAATGTACATTTTTTCCTTGGCGGGTATTCTTTTTTTTTTTTTTTTTTTAAGATTTTGTTTATTAATTCATGATAGACAGAGAGAGAGAGAGAAAGAGAGAGAGGTAGAGGGAGAAGCAGGCTTCCTGCAGAGCAGGGAGGCCGATGCGGGACTCCATTCCAGGACCCCAGGATCATGACCTGTGCCGAAGGCAGACGCTTAACCATCTGAACCACCCAGGCACCCCTTGGCGGGTATTCTTTTCCCTGTTTCTTTCAGATCCATTTGTTTCAAATGCATCTTTTTGTTGGCTTTTTCTCAGCTGTGTAATGTCACTGAACTGAATTATAAATGGGTCATGAAATTAATTGACCCTCAAGTTGGTGACTCATGTGTCCCCAGTGGTATACAGATAAGATTCTTTGGATTTCTATGGTTTCTTGAGTCAAGACGGACTCCCGAGTTGCCTTTGTCCATCAGGAGGTGATCCTATGGGAGCCCCTGCTTCCTTTGACTTTGACTTATTCATATTCCAGTTGTTCAGTTAGACTGCAGGGGGGTCTCAGGATGGAGGAGAAGGAAGACTAGTCAAATTGACAGGTGTTCGCAAGGGAGTTTAAAGATAAGGGGATTAAGATTTTAGTTACAGAATAAGAATTTAGTTTCGAACGAAAGATTGTCAGTAATACTGATTACTGAACAACAAGTATTCTCTTAAATTCTAAATTAAGAAGACAGTAATCACATTTTGTAGGTATGGTTATTTAGGTGTACATATTATCTTCTCAATAGACTGGGAGTTCCTTAATAGAAGGACCCTGTGTTGTCGAGGGAGCTCCTTATATATTTGCTGAACGCATGCGTAAAAAAACAAAAACAAAACAAAAAAGCAGCAAAATCCTCACTGTGACTTTTCTCACCAATAGGGGCCGGTTCCACCTGGGGATGAAGTGACCACAATATTCGTGCCCCAGGACTTACCCTTCTTGTAAACTGCCACCTAGATCAGGCTCTGTGTCTGTATTACGGGGGTACGTGCACTGGGCATGCAGGTGGACTCTGCTCGGGGCTCGGGAGCTTCAGTGTGCGTGCGCCCCAGGGGACAAGAGGTTTGGTGGGGGGCGATGTGTGGCTGCAGACTTAGAGGTTTTAGCCCGGCCTGCCTGCGTACCCAAAGAAACCCTCTGGAACCCTGGGAGGCAGAGTAACAAGTTCATGTCCTTCCTTCTCTTTCAGTGTTGTGGATCATCCTCATTACCCGTTTTCTGAAGAATACTGACCATGAGCTATCACCATTTGCTCTAGCAGAATTTCTCAACTTCCAGGGCTTGGAGAGGACTTCTGTGTGTGGTGAAGGTGATTAAAAGGAGTGTCTGTAGCTTTCGGCTGTTTGCCTTTCTTTCTTTCCCTTTTTCTTTCTTTCTTTCTTTCTTTCTTTCTTTCTTTCTTTCTTTCTTTCTTTCTTTCTTTCTTTCTTTCTTTCTTTCTTTCTTTCTTAAAAATATAAAACAATAAAGACTTCAAAATAAGCACGTTGTTTTTTCCTGATGATTAAAATGATACATAAAAGGGTGCCTGGGTGGCTCAGTCGTTAAGCGTCTGCCTTCAGCTCAGGTCATTATCCCAGAGTCCTGGGATTGAGCCCCGCTCCCTGCTCTGTGGGAAACCTGCTTCTCCCTCTCCCACTCCCCCTGTTTGTGTTCCTTCTCTCACTTTGTCTCTCTCTGTCAAATAAATAAGTTAAAAATCTTTAAAAAAGATACATGAAAATTACAGAAGATTTGGGAAGTAAAGACAAAGGATAGAGAATACAGATAACCTATAATTAGCCCTTTTAAAAACATTTAGTTTTAAAACAAGTAAAAAAAAAATAAAAATACTTAACTTTTGGTACATTTTCCTTCGTGATTTTCCTATACGTGTATGTGTTTATTTACAAAATTGAAATAATCTTCAACATACACACTGTATAATTTTTTTTAGTTAGCATAGTCTTTTTCCAAGATACTAAAATATTATTAAAAAGTTCAGTATTATATTTGGCTTATGGTAAAGCAATGCATCTCAGTAATTAATTTCTCTATTGTCTTACCTGTGTTTTGGCATCGTGATTCGTTCTTGTGAATTTTGCCTTTCATCTATTTATTCATGCAGCACAACTTATTGATCATCCTTTGTTTGCTAGACATTGTTTTATCAGTAAATAAAACAGATGAGAATGAAATTAAAGTGGGAAATGTCTTGAGTTTGTAGTCTAGTGGAGGAAGAAATTCATGAGTGAAATAGGGGTGTTTAGTTGTTAGAAATGGGTGAGTGGGAGAGAATTCTGCGCAGTCTCTCACGTTTCTGTACTCCTCAGAAGCAGGGGCACTGGCTACCCTTCATTCCACACTATTCTTTTTTTTCAAGAAGTTTGTACAGCAAATGGCCTTGGAACATAGAGATCATGGCCCCCGCCAGGGAAATGGAAGGCTGTTTACAGCCTAGTAATATAAAGCAAATGTTTCCCTCCAGAGAAAGGGCAGGGATGTTTAGTCCCTACTGTACCTGATCCAGATTCCCCAGACTCAAGATTTTCCTCCCATAATTCAACCCACTGTGTGTTTAGGTATCACCTGGTCCCCTTCACTTCACCCTGTGGAAATAGGGGCTCAAGGAACCAGCAAAACAAACCTTACCATGGTACACATTTTTTGCAATATATACATATATCAAATCCCCATATCGTAAACCTTATGCTTACACAATGTTATATGTCAGCGGTATCTCAACAAAGCTGGAAAAGATGCTGTTACTTTAGCTATAGCTTTTACTGTGAGTAATAAGCTGTCCTTTTTCTACCAGCATCCATGAAACCAGGGCAAGCTAATTTGTTAGCTTGCAAAACCATCCTTGATGGTTCTTGACAGTGATTTGAATAAAAATGAAGCAGGGAAGGAGAATCATAGTAGTGGAGAGGGAGAGCATTTGGTGCTCTTATAATACGGTTAGAAAAGATTCCACTGAGAAGGTGACTCTTGAGCAAAAATTAAGGCAAGAGAGTGAACTTTGTGGGAATGTGGGAGAGTATTCCTGGACATGGACCAGAAAATGCTAAGGCCAAGAAGAAAGAGTGTTCCTATACTATTTAAGCAACAACAAGTGGGCTGGTGTGCATGAAGTTTAGTGAGCAAAGGAGATAGAAGTAGAAGATGAGGTCCTGACGGCCGACAGAGAGAGGGTAGGTCATCCAGGCTTTGAAAGGACTTTGGTTCCAAGAGAAATGGGAAAAGATACTGTGGGTTCTGAGCAGAGAAGCTACTTGTGCTGACACATTTTAAAAGGATCACCTGGGTGTTCCCGTCGAGGAGGAAGAGAAGCCTGTTTCAGGGCTCCATGTAAAAATTAAGATAAGAGATAATGTTGGCTTAGACCATAATGTGAGCAGTAATGTGGTCAGAAGTTGTTAGAATGGGATATATTTTATGGATAGAGTCAACAAGGGTGTCTAACATACTGGACATATGGTGAAGGGAAAGAAAAGAATCAAAGTTGACTCCAGACATTTGCAGTTAAGGAACTGGGAGGAAGGAGTTGCTATTTTCTCAGAGGAAGATGATGTAGGAGGGGCAGATTTTTGTGGGAAGATGATGAGCTCAGTTTGAAACATGTGTGAGATACCTATTAGGTATCCAAGTGAAGAAGCCACACAGAGACTTGAACATACAAGTCTACAGTTAAGGGAGAGGTCTAGACCGAAGATATGTATTTGGGATTCGTCAGAATAGAGTTGCCACTTAAAGCCATGGAAGGAGCTGGTCAAAGATTAGATGGTGTGAGTGAGCGTGAAGAGAAGCACCATGAGGGATCCCATTGTTAAGAGGTGTGTGGGGAAAAAGGTGGAGGAGACAGGAAAGGAGGCTGAGAAGGACGGGCCAGTGAGGTGGGAGGGAAACGGAGGAGATTTTTCTGTTCTGGAAGCAAAGAAGGAACAGTTTCAAGAAGAGTCAGATGCTACTAACAGTGTAGGTAAGACAAGGACTGAAAATGGACCACTGGATTTGGCAATTGACCTTAACAAGGTCAAGAGCAGTTTTGGTTTTTTGTTTTTTTTTAAAGATTTATTTATTTATTTGAGAGAGCGAGAATGAGAGAGAGAGAGTACATGAGAGAGGGGAGGGTTAGAGAGAGAAGCAGACTCCCTGCCGAGCAGGGAGCCCGATGCGGGACTCGATCCTGGGACTCCAGGATCATGACCTGAGCCGAAGGCAGTCGCTTAACCAACTGAGCCACCCAGGCGCCCCAGTTTTGGTTTTTTTTTAAGATTTTATTTATTTATTTGAGAGAGAGAATGTGCACAAGCAGGTGGAAGGGCAGAGGGAGAGGGAGAAGCAGACTCCCCGCTGAGCAGGGAGAACAATGCTCTTAGGAACAATCTAGTAAAGAGAGAACATTGATGACCCAGGAGAGGGGTAGAATTGCAAATGATGTCTGTATCAGTTTCCTGTTGCTGCTATAACAAATCACCACAAGTTTGGTGACATGAAAGAACATAGTTGTATTGTCTCACACTTCTGGAGTTCAGAAGTTCAAAATCGGGTTCAATGGGCTAAAATCAAAGTGTCTGTGTGCCTTCATTCCTTCTTGAGGTTGTAGGGGAGAATCCATTTCCTTGCCTTTTCCAGCTTCTGGAAGATACCTTCTTCCCTTGTCTTTTGGGCTCTTCCTCCATCTTCAAAGCCAGCTGCATAGCATCTTCCAATCTCTTATCTATGCTTCTGTTTCCACTTCTGATGGCAACCCTCCCCGGTCCCACTTATAAGGACTTTGTGATTACATTTGACCTCCCCAGATATTCCAGGAAAATCCTCTCATCTCATGATCCTTAATCACATTTGAAAAGTTCCTTTTGCCACACAAGGTAGCATACTCACAGGCTTCAGGGATTGGGGCATGGACATTTTTGAGGCCGTTATTCAGTCTATTGCACTACCTCTGTGGTTAATTTGAGGCAACTAAGCCATAGTTTCCTAATCCTTCCAATAGAATAATTATATCACCAGCCAGCAAGTACTGAAGCTCTAGACTTTCGTCCCAGATATCAAGTGGAAAGCAACATTAATAAAAAACAAAAACAACTGTTCTTTTAAGGTTGGCATCTTCTTGACCCCATTATCTTACCCACTTTTTGGCAACACTCCCTTTGTTCTCTTAGTTTATAATTCCTTCCCAGGGTGTGTTAACATCATCCTTGTTCATGCAGACGACACAAGCTTCTCAGTTTTTTGATGTTCTCAACTCCAGAGAGTCTCTCCTTGTACTGAGACCACACTAGGTAACTACCCCCATGGCGGCATCTGTGAAACCCTCACACTGACATGGTCCACACCAGTCCCTTCTCCTACTGTTGTTTTTCCTGTACCTCCGTCCATCAAGTTCTGATTCATCATAGGGGCAGCCGGTGAGACTCTCCCCTTTCTATCCTTCAGCTCCCATTGGAGTTAACATATTCAAATTAGGCTAAAAGGATACATTAAGTTGAAATTTATCAGATGTCACGCATTCTCTCTACATTTCTGCTTCAAACAGATTTGCCTTCTGGCTTGTTCATGTCTTTATCAGTCCTTGTATCAATCATACAAGACAAGTGTGCCTACAACCAAGATAAATTCTCTGCTTTTATTTTATCTAAGGCTGAGACTCCAACGCCACCAGAGATTCTTAATCATCTGCTCTGTAGTAAAGCCTTGGTGTCAGTATGTTGTGAAAGCTCAGTATGAAGTTCCAAGTGAGGCCAAGGTTGGAAACCTCTAATATCATGATTACGTTCTCACTGTGCCTTCCGAATACCCATTTTACTTCAAATGATTGATTTAGGTCACTCTTGTTAATTCTGATTCACTTGACATGTAATCACTTTGGGAAGAGGACTGGCCAATGACAAGGGAGAGGAACTGTGTTGGGGGGCTTTTAAGGACTTGTTCCACTTCTTAACACAGGTGGCCCCTCTCCTGCTGCTGGCTGTGTCCTGTTGCCACTGGATGTCTGGATCTGCTGTGCTGGCTGTACCCAGCTCAAGGATGATGCCGATGCCCAGAGGAAGGAAGAGCTCAGAATATCAGAAGGGGACCTGGACCCCCCATGGATGACACCCAGTGCTTGCCTTGCCTCTGGACTTCTTGTTAGGAAGGTAACACATTTCCGTGGGGTTTAAGCCAATGGGAGGCTGGTTTTCTTGACCTGGTTGTATCCTAACCAAAATAGACATCAAAGTTAACAACCTTCTCTTGACGACTCCCCTGCACCACACACCTTGCTGGCAGTTTGGAATCTGCAAAAATTGCTGAGTCATCCTTCGAGAGCATGACCCCAGTGAATTGGAAGCGTTTGACAATGGCATTGGGTAATATTAAACTAAAAAATTATGCAGAAGATGCGGTGGTCCCCCAAAGAGCCTTGGATTTGTCCTTCACTTATCTTGAGGTCACATTTGGGACACATTTTGTTCTTCCAATGGAACGCACTTCATGACACACTAGTGAGTGAAGTCGATTTTACTTAAAATTCCATGGGTTATGGATTTCATCAAATACCATTTGATAAATATCTCTTTAAATATCTCTGTTCTTTCTCCCCCAATTCCCCCCAGACCAATAGCAGTGCCTCACACCCTCTCTACACACTACCTCTCTTTCTTATCCTTCTGTCCATACAGCTTCCCATTTTCCAAAGCAGTGTGTTTCTGACCTTTGGTCTGCACCCTCCTACCATACGTCTGTCAAGTTCAAGTGCATTGTTTTTGTTCACCCAGAATGCAACGTCTGTTACCCAGTCCCACTTCAGAGAATTCATTAAAGGAAACAGGTCACTTTCTAGAGACAAATACTGCTAGCCATATAATTTTATTTATTTTTTAAACCATGTCAATATACCCTTTGTTGGGCAAGCATTTGCTGTTCTCTGTACACTAACAGTTCTCACCTCGGGAGTGAGTGAGGAGAAACTAAAATCAATTATTTGTGGCACACCTGCATTACTTACTTATGACTCAGAGAGGCCCTCTGCTATCTCCTTCTTTCATTCCTGCATTCCTACCTCCTCTCTTCTCCCTTCCTCATGCCCCTCTCTTAGCTCCTATGGGACTAGGAAATCCTCAGATCTCTTGACAGTTCTCCCGTTCAGCCTGATTGTATACAGCTGGGGAAAGTTGGAATCCACACCAGTTCCTTTAACCCAGACTGCTCAAGCAAACACCCCTACAGATCAGCCAGTTTCTCCAGGGAGCCCTGGGACGCTGGAAGATTCTAGCTGGTCACCGGATTAATAGGGGAATGTCCAGCCTGGGCCCTCTGTGATAGAGCCCCCCCAAAGCTACATGTGTTCTCTTTCTGGGGGTTTGTAGTCCAGGACACTGAACTTACTTCTTTATCTTCATTAAAACTGTAATCAGAAGTCTACCTATTTTATTCTATTAGAAATTCTAATACTATTCTATCCTAACTCTTGCAGATAGTTCACTGATCCTCGTTATTTATAAGGCAATCCTAAAATAGCCTCCCATTTAGTAATAAATGCAATAAAGTCTGGAAAGGACTTAGCTTAATGGCACATTGACACTCAGATGTTGGTAAATATTTTTGCTAATAATTTATTAATATAGAGATGAATGAAGACAAAGGTAAGGAAATAATGCAAACAGAGAGAGAATGGTGATCAATCGGTAATTCTTACAAAAAAGTAGGTATTTCAATAATAACCAATCATTTTTCTATCACATTTTATTCTGGGTCACTACTCTGTATAAAGATCTCCTTACTTTACAGTAAGACCGTCGGACACGGGGCCTGATTTTTATGTAACATTCTTTCCATTTCTGATATGTTGCATATGGTGGGCAGTTAATAAATAATTAATGAATTTTAAAAATGGGAAATGAAATTGCTATCAGTAACACGTATCACTCCAAAGTATGTATGAGTGCCAAGCAAGTGGCTGGACTTGTCCCATTCAAAACAAGGCAGAATCAGCCTCTTCTTCCACTGAGTATTTGAAATAAAAAGGACAGGCTTTCTGCCATTGCTTTACTGACAGATGTAGCTAGGTGAGAAATATATCTGAATATTTGACTCTGTGTGTCCTGTGTATTCAGTGCTGGGCAGGGAGTATGATTTGAATAATTTAATTATTATTTTTTTAAAACCACCTTGATTATAAAGTCATGTTTGTGAAAGACAGAAAGGCAGACTTCACAACCAGCTAGGTAATAAAATGTTTAACTTTCACTTTTTTTGAGATTTTATTTATTTATTTGAGAGAGACGGAGTCATTGAACCAGTGTGACACATTGTTCTTTCCCATTTGGGTGCTGCTGGTCACTATAACCGTCTCCACTTCTAATGAATATTAACACAGGATCCTTTGACTTCTACCTGAAGCCCTGTGTGTGGCGAGTGGTGTGGGAACGTCTCAGATGTTGGTGAGCGCGGGGTCAGTCCGTGCTGTTTAGTGCACACTCAGAGCGAAACCCAGAGGGGAGGCGGGGAGGGCGCTAAGCCTTTGTCCCTTTCGGTAAATATTAAAGAATTGTTTTCCTTAAAGACTCTTAGCTCCTCCAGCCCTCTGTCTTGTGTGTTTTGTTTCCTTCTAACTCATTAGAGCCCCAAACTGGTTTGGCCAGTTTGGGTTTGGGGTGGGGAAGAAGGGATAATAAGATGACACAGTGTCACAGATGTTCCTGGGGTGGGTGGGTAGTTTTCAGCCTCCAGGAAGTAGTAGTTGGCAGATACTCCTCAGTATCTTAGGCCCTTCCAGGAACAGGGAGATGCATGGCATTCGGCCCAGACAGGGGCACACTGTGATGACCAGCTGCCCCTGGGCTCCTTCCAGCAGTGCACAGAGCAAAGGGGATGAGATACCTCCTGTGAGCCCAGCGGCCCAGGGCACGGGAGGGGAACCAGCCCCAAAGGATGCGTGGGACTCAGGTGGACAGAAGGCTGAGGAAGGAGTTGAGCACAGATCTGCTTGGGAAATGGTGGCAAATGCCTCTTTTGATACTTCTATCCTGCAGAAAAAGGGCAGCCCTCCACAGTCTTTTACTAAAGAGCCAGAGCTGACTGTCAGGGCTTGATTGTCATGTCCATCCAGGTAACCGTGGTGACTTGCTGGGGGTAGTGGGGTGGGAGGTCAAGGGAACCACTCACCGATCAGGTTGCCCTTGCTAAGGAACAAAAATGTTACAGAGTGCATTTTAAAGATCTAACTGGCTTTATTAAATGATTCATGAATCAGGCAGCATCCCGTCTAGCAAACAGAAAGGAGCTCCATCAAGATGCAGAAAAGCAAGAGTTTTTAAATGTAGAGAGGGAGCAGAAAAAAGGAAATTAATGGTGAAGAACTCAGTGTTTTAGGCAAGGTCGCCCTCCTAAAGGGAATGGAAGGGTCTATCAGTAAATCTCCTGGTGACCAGGAAGTTTCCACATTGACCAGTTAGAGGTCACATTCCTGAGGGGTTGAAACTGCAGTTAGGTAGGGTAGTGAGTCTTGGTTTACTGACTTGGGGCCTAACCTACGTGGCTCCATGATGCCCTGTGGTTTTAATACCGTGCATACTAATTCCACATTTACCTAATTTTCTTAGGTCCAACAAATATTAATTTGATATACTTGATCCCTTTAAACATTCCAAACACAAAATAAGGCATACTTGCAAATACAAAGTGCAAACTATTCCTAAGCCATCAAATATTTTCGATAAAGCCAATATTTATATGGCTAATACATTTAGTAACTCCAGTTCGCCTGAATTTTAAAACACCGTTTGAAAATACATGCATGCAAAATAGCACACTGCTTCCAGCAAGTGTTAATTTTTAGGAACAGCTTTTACCAAAAAATGTACATTTATGTTCTATAATTTTTAAGACTATGTTAACTTTTAGGAACATCTTTTACAAAAAATATACATTACTTTCTATAATATTTATTTTTTAAATATTTATTTATTTGAGAGAGAGAGAGTGCTTGAGCAGGGGGAGGGGCAGAGGGAGAGGGAGAAGCAGACTCCCCACTGAGCCAGGAGCCCAATGCAGGGCTCGATGCGGGGCTCGATCCCAGGACCCTGGGATCATGATCTGAGCCAAAGGCAGAGGCTTAACAGACTGAGCCACCCAGGTGCTCCATACTTTCCATAATATTTAAGAATACAAACTTAATCATGTCATCATAAGGAACCAGATTTTTATGGCAGACCACTTTGTTAAAATTTGGGACAGTCATGGACCCAGCAGGGATAATGAAAGAACTTTGAGACAGACAGTTGTTCAAGACCCGGGTATACTTTCCAGCACCAATACCTCAGCTGCTGCCTCCTCTCATGACCACATTTGTCTGTCATAACTACTGGTCTTTCTAAAGCCATGCTCTTCAGCTAGGACCTAACCAACAAGCTGTGCAAGCCACGGTATTTCCTAAAATGACTCATCCTTTTAAATTAGAGGTCATGTTTATTCTCAAATATTAGTTCACATTTGTATGACTATGGCATAACCTTATGTCTTTTAGACATAGCACATAATAATTGGGATAGAATTCTTTACATAGGCTGAGATTGTATCTCTCTTATTTTTTATAATGTCTCATTGGACATTTATTTTTTTTAGTCAGTTTATTGAAATCCGTCTTTAAAAGTTGCTCCCCTGGGAAGATCAGTGTATATGATGAAGGCAGCCAGGGAAACTCCCTAGGCCTGCTTCAGGCAGTAAAAAGATGAGAAGATGCAAAGAGTCAAGTACTTTGTCTAATGAGTTAAGAAGTGTTCACAGAGGAGGGCCAAATTTTAATAATATAGAAAAAGCTGGACTTCTGGTATCTGGACTCACAGGTTACAAACTTGGAAGTCATTACTCCCGTCCTCATAACAAGCAAAAAGATAAACTAAAATTCCATAGCTCTTAGATCCATCAGAAAATTGACATCACAGGGCAAATGGAAGACCCCAAAATTGGAGAGACAATGGACATGA